GTGTCTATATGTGTCGACTCCTTTAACCTCTTAAGCCCCAAGCCTACCTGATCTCCTGCTTTTTGCCCCCGTATCAGGGGGCGTTGGGGCTTAAGAGGTTAACTGTTAAATGAACACTTTTGAAAGTGAACTACTCGTCCACCACTACTATGTTTGTTAGGTTAGCCTCCACTGGTTTGTAGCTAGAAGTCTCACTGGATCTGTTCCAATAAAACACAGTATTTTATTCTATTTTATTTTATTCTATTCCATTGTTTTTCTTAATTATTCCTGCTTGTAACTTTGCACTGTTCACTTCCTGCCGTGACCCAACAAATTTACCATGTGAGGACTAAAAAAGGTTTATCTTATCTCTTATACTGTGTACTCATGTCCCGCCTGCTAGCATCTTGCACCCTGCAGTTATGTGCTGGATTGTCTCATCTTTACACAGGCTGCAGCTGGGACGTTTCCTGGTGTGACAGACCCCAGACCCCAACTCAAGACTTGCCTTAGTCTCTGCAGGTGGTTGCAGTATTTCTGCATTACTTGTGTTGGTCTGTTTTCTCAGGCTGTGTCATTGTCAAATACAGAAAGTTTAAAGCATGAATTTGCTTTGTTGTTCGTGTAATATCTGCATGAACATTATAACTTACCAGGTGCAGGAGGAGGACCAGCAGGCGCTTTAGATTTAACTTCAGAATAAATGGTTGAGTCCTCAATTCTTTCTAGAAGACACAAATGACTGAATGCAGGGATTCATACCAACAAGTCTGACATGTTTGCCATGTGTTAGTTTTCAAACTAGCTTTATCACATCATTTATGATAAAGCTAAACAATGTGATAAACTCAAAAAGATAAGTCTGAGCTCATGACTTGGCGTATAAAATAGAAATGTTGTGCTTTGTAGTGATTTGAATGTCTCCGAATTTTATTGAAAAATAATCTTTTTGTTGTTTTTAAAGAAAAACAGGAAAATATGATGTTCATCAGGGAACTTCACAAAGATATAAACAGTCAGACTCATCAGTGATTCATTTTTGAACGAAGCAGGAGAGTAACTTACCTTTTGTTAGTGAAGCACCAGTTTTGAAAACCATTGTGGAATAATTGACTTCTTCCTCCATCATTAAAAGCCAAATTGCCTTCAGCGCAAAGAAAACTAAAACTGACCTCAACAGGAACGGCCTGTTAAAAGCCTGTCACTGACACCCCACCCACATGCCCACACACGCACCATAAAACAATACGAAATCCCAGCAGTAACTGGCACAGAACAAACCTGCGGTTCCTCTTCCTATAACTCCTCAATGTGTTCATACGCGTGCCTGATCTCGGAATTGTGTTGCTTCCGTAACACGCCGTTACGCTAAGAGCAGTTAACACATTTGGGCTTTGACCCAACAAACCAACCTGTCACATATGTGTCTGGTGCAACGTCCACGTTGTTTCTTAACTGATGATCGATGTCGTTGTGAGACATCGTGTTAGGGGAAAACGTTGTGATGAAAAATGTCTGTGACAGTACGAAAAAGGAAGAGGCGGGTGATCGCAATTTTTGCAACTTGTCTGGCCCAAGGAGCAGTGAGGTGTGTGTCATCACTGCACCTCATAAATATTAATCAAACCTTCACAGTAATCATGGATCTTCAGCCAAACCGTTGTCCTGATGTAATGAACAAAATTCAATTCACACTATTTAGCAAATTTATTGACTTAACGTTCCTCAAAATGACGACAAAAGAACTCCATTAAACACTAAATGATGTGATAACTTTGCCACGTGTATCCTGTTAGACAGGGAGGATCCTGTGGGTCATAACCGTGGAGAGAGTGGCGGCGTTGAACACAAACACTTTTATTTGGTGACGTATTTGATGAATGTTACTGCGAGCCCCTTTTAATCCTCATTTGTCTGTGCAGTTTACCCCAGTTTACACTTTCTTTCTGCACTTCACACGCTGCAATAACCTGAGATGTGATGAACAACTACATCATTTATATTCTGGTTATTTATTTATATTGCACTTTTTAAAGTCAATAAACAACAACAACAATAAAAACATAAGAAATTGTAGCAAATTATTATGAATGGAAACAAAAACTTGATGGGAAAAAAAGACAAATAACCAAAATGTGTGAAAACTGTAAACTGGTCCACAGACAGATTTCCATTCAAACTATTAGTTTTATTAAATGCATCATAACACTGCGACAGGCACAGCTCACTGGAGGTGAGGCCGAACACACAGCTGTTGCTCCAGCTGCCTGTTCTTACGTATCAGCCTTACAAGTGTCCAGATAAATAAGTAAATAAAAGAATCACAGTTTTTATGAAGGCCAAACCACTTTAAGCTGGAAACACTTTTTTCATAATAACATTGAACATTTTAACATGAGAGTCTCTTGTTAGCCAGTTAATTTCTTACACACTGTTTTACTGTTTTAGTTTTAGACAATAGGCACAACACACACACACACACACGCGTACTATTATTATTGTACAGCCACACGGTTTCTGTTACACGTTACGCCCAATGAGCATGAACCGACTGTCACTTCCTCAAGTGGAAA